AACACATACAACCATGAACAAGGGAAGTACTGAGAGGTGGGTCTCTAAAACGTTAAGGGAATGAACTTTTAGTTGACTCTGAAAGAATGGCAGTTAGTATAGTAAGTAGAGTATGATGATTTATGGTAACTAAGCTGCTTTGCCAAGGGGTTCTGGAACTGGACAGCCAATCTGCCCCATGAAGGTCATCAACTTCATGTAGAATTCAAGATTCAGTAAGAACTATTTAAACTTAGTAATTTAAATACATATTAAAGTCAATGGAAGAGTAATCACATTAATTATATAATCACACATAACGTGATCACGTTATATAATCAGAACACATTGTTTTAATGAAACAAATTTCTTAATACCTAGGAACAAACTAACACATTGATAAAATCTGCCAAATACTATACAGTTTAGAAAGAACTTTGGCCACCATACAATGAACCACATTTTAAAAGACTAATATTAAAAAAATGTTTACTTAAACCTGTAATTGACTCAAGCTGATTTTCATCTCAGACAAAAAAATGTGCTCAGTAATAGTTTCAAATGTTATCCGTTTGAACTTGGGTACACTCTGCTTGGTATATATTTCGTTTCAACCAGCCAATCATGTATTCAGTCCCAAGAAGTCCAAAATATAAGAGCAAGTAGATTTTATTATGTCCCATTCCTTTCATGATATATTTTCATTTGATGCTTTTCCTTTAAGTTAAATTAGACATAGTTAAATTTAAAAATGTGAGTTCAGTATAAATGTAGTCATTATTTTTCACAAACATGCAAAAAACTCTGTTGAAAACACATTTCTCCTACTTCTTCAATGTCCAGGCTGCTCTTTTTCATCAACCTGACCACAACATGGACATTCCAGGGCTTCCCTTCTGTCCAAAACATTGCACTGCCTCCAGTGCAGCATCTACTCTGTCATCCCAGTTACAAGTGGTTCCTTCATCTTATTAGCCTCTCTCCTACTAAAAGGCTTTTGTGTATGCTTACGAGCAAGGTTTCACTGGGCCCCCAAAAGGAGCTGGCCTGCTACGAAGCTCTGTGGCAACTGCTACAGAATGATGTTGAAGACAACCACTTCTGATCATCCTCAAGGCTAGGACTCCAGCCCTAGGACCTGGCCAAAGGAGGGCCTGCAAACGCTGGGTCACGGCTGTGCTGAGCTGCACTGGTCTTATGCCCTAGCTCTCGATCTCACTCACAGGAGAAGGGCTGTTTCTTCGTAAGTCATACATCTCAGTAGCTCCAGAGCTCAAGGGTGAGAGTGCTTCTCCCTTAGCCTGGTGGAGCCCTGGCAGAATGGTGAGTGCGTGGAGGGAATGTCGAGAGCATATCTACTCTTGATTCTATCTGCAGGAGCCATGTATGCCAGGGTTGGCAGCCACTCAACAAGTTTTTTATTTAATCTCATTTATTCTAGGACCTCAGCTCAAGCATCATTCTCCTGGGAAGTGTTCCCTGACCTCCCTGATTAGACCAACCCCCATCAGAGATGATGCGCAGCCTTATATTGTTCAGGTTTTATATTTGACTGTATGATTACTTCATTAGCATTGCTTAATCCTCATTTAGACTACAAACTTTAGGAGAGGGGAACCATATTAACTTTGGCTAATATAGCTCTATCCCTAACGAAGGGTCAGTTGGTGTACACAGGAGACTGACCAAATTTGTTGAGATACGTGAATAGATAAATAGTCTTGATTTGTACTTACCGCCTGTCATAGTGAGTGCAGTTTGCCAGTTGTAACAGAACTTGGTGCTGAGGATTATGACTGGTGTGAGGCTTCTCACTGCCAATTTTTTTTCTCAGAGAAATAGCTAATCCTTTGGCAAACACACCTCTAGACAAAATGCTAATGTGTAAAGCATTCATAGGCTATATTGATACATAAAGATTATTTATTAGAATCTTACTTGTCTTACCTAACCAGAAAATATAAATGATTTAATACTCAGTGGCTTTTCCACATAATCGTCTAGTTTGCTTAATACATTGTTTTTTGGCCTCAGAGACCTCTACATTGCTGACAAACATGGTGCGTAATGATATAAGTATTAGAACCTTTCTAGCATTAGAATCCCAGCCGCTGACCTAATAGCTTCTTGGGTATTCTTGGTGTTCAAATAACTATGATAAAACTGACATTCGTACAGGAAGCAACCTGCTGAAATCATGTTTTAAGAAATGTTTAACAGCAGTACTTCTATTGTATAATAAGTTAAATTTACAAATGATATACTTAATTTACATTGAACTATGTTTCATAAAAATGATCTAATGAAGTAATAAGTTTAAACAAGGGCATCTCAAACTCAAGGCTGCTTTCTACAATAGAATCACTATAAATACTTAAAAAAACTTTTCCAACTATATATATAATCTTCTCAACTTGGAGCCTATCATAAATCCCAAAGGGCAAATTCTAGTCATAGGTAAAGTGAAATGAGAAAATTTACTAAAATTCTGAAATATTATTTTGGGGGTTATATTTTCTTCTCATAAACGATGGTACACATAGCACTGGCTAAAGATTCTGCTACCAGGAGACTTCGAGCCTCGGGACCGACGAAATGCAATGGGGCTCTCCTCTGCCTCTACCTAAGGTAAACCGGCTCTCCATTCCTCCTTAGACACCTCAAAGAAGGGTCAGATTAAACGTGTAACTCCCAAGGTAGTTCCTGGTACTTGAAAGTTTAGGTCACTTTCTCTTGCTTTCCTATCTGGGGGTGGGGGATAAACACCTTGCTTTCCTCTGTGGGGTCACAAATGCATGCACTATTATATCTGTCATTATCTCTCCCTACTATGGGCAAGCAGGAAAATGTTTAGCTGCCCAGAAGAAATCCCCACAGGAAGCTGGACATCAATATTTTCTCCCCCTACATGTCGTACTTGGACGTTGGCTAGACCGACTATGTGGACAGTCAAGAGTGCTGGTTTTGCCAAAGCCTTCGCGTGTCAGTCCCTGCACAATGCTGACAGCCCAAATGCCCATCTGGATGGGTGGGGTAGGCAATGCTTACTAAAAACTTAAGTGAGTTAAGGAACCCAGAAGAAAATGTGTCATGAATATATGATTACTAGAAGCAACTTAATAACTCATTGTACTCCACATGGCTTCTGATATTTTTGAAAGCATGATACAACATCCAAAGAGGAAATATTTATACAGTTAAACTTTGTAAACAAGGGAACTTTTGTATTTTATCTCTAAACATGTCAAAAGTTCCTATCTATCTGAGAAAGGATCTTAGAGGTCTGATCTCCCACCTCATTGAATTTTAAAGCATCAAGAATATCTGAAAAGAAACTATAAACTTTAGGGTCACATGATGAATCAAAGGCAAAGCTAGAAGTCAAGTTTTAGAACTATCCCTCATTATTAAGAAATGCTACTTTCCCCAAATCAAACTTGTTCCACTGGCACAGTAATCTATATGAAGACAATATCTTGGTCAAACCCACCCTCCTCTTATAGTGGCCAATGATGTTTTCACCAGCAGACACACAAGGACTCTTGAACTACCTCCTAGGAGTGTTTATGGATCTATTCTAAGAATAAGAAAAACATTGTAAAATGCAGAAGAGAGACTAGCTCTTGTTTTAGCTTTCTGTGCAGTTTCCCAATCAATAATTAATAATTTAAAGAATCTGTCTATTTAACTGAATATTGCACAAAGTGAAAAGAGGTATCAATTATTAAATATTTTATGGTAGAAATAATATCTGTGAATGAATCTGTACGAAAGTCAACATTGGCGTAGACAGGACAGCTCACGCATAATATGAGAAAATGCTGACTCACAGGGCCTTTCCTTCTCTTCTCTGGGGTAACTGCCAGTAGAACAGGAAGTACAAGATGCCACAAGTGTGGCTGCAGCACTCCTGCTCACGAGCCCCGGGAGAAGGGGAGGGAGTGAGCTGCTCTTGTCTGAGGTGTTCGGATGAGAGGATGGGTGCGAGAACAGGCTTCAGCCCTGCGGTTGGTATCACATCCTGCCCATAGGCAGTGTCTCTGCTTCTTCACAGCCTGTCTTTGCTGTGTGAAAAATCTACTCAATCGTCTTTGGAACATCATTTCTCTATGTAGTTTGAACTAATTCTTAGCCACACTCTTTCCTGCCCCCAATGAATAGGCATATCTACTTTCATCTATTTCTCTTCGTAGATCGTGTGTGTAGGAATAATCATGCACCTTTCAAATTTTTCATGAAATGGTCACATATTTATAATTTTAACCAAAATTCAAAAGCTGGTACAAATTGTTTTTTCAAAACCCCACGTTCTTTTGACATTGACTTACTGTTTGGGAGAGAGGTATGAATAGGAGGAGTAGGTCAGCCAGAAAACCCAAAAGTAAGTGTCGCTGTCTGCATAACTAGCGGCCTCATTTGTAAACAAGCAGAATTGCAAACATTGCATGATAGGCTATAGTTAATCAATTGAAGTGTGTTTCAATTGATTAAAGTCTACATTAGACTTTAACCTTCTCACATGCTCTACTGAGTATTTTAAAGTGAACAGTTTTGAGTGGCTTAGGCAAACATACCTAGAAATACATTAAATGCACACCCAATAGGCACATTCTAAAGGACCCTAACAGTCTCATAAAAGCTTTTGTTAATATTCTTATCTTCTGTGTTTAAGAGTTTCATATCCTGACCTTCCCATCATTGGCATTTTCCACTGCTCTGTGACTGCACAGAAGGGAGTTAACAACAGGCAAAACAATATTCAAAATAATGGCTGGAGAAATGAAACTTGACCAAGGCCTGACTACATCTGCTTACCACACTCAAGCTATACACTTGATTTCACAGCAGCACAAAGTGAAATGATCCTTCTTACTAGGGCCAGACTGAAAACTTCAACTCTAAGCACTTTTGAAATCCACTGCATATCATTCCCAAGAAAATACCACCAACCTCCAGTGCAGAATGCAGCATCTGCTGAAGTGAAAAGATGTGCTTCTGAGATACAGAGGAAGCAAACTCACCCGTAAGCAACTCCTGCTATGGTGCACTTCTTAAACTGCATTACATTGCATGTCAGGGTACCAGTTTTGTCAGAAAATATGTATTTAACCTAAAAAAAAGAAATATTCCTCAATGTTGCAAAATTTTTTAATAGAGGGAGAAAAACCTTAAATTGTAGTTTTTATAAGCTTTGTTACATTTTAGGCATACAAGAAACACCATTAACTATTTTCTGCAAAATCAAGTAACATATTCTGCTTTTAAAAATATGTCATTGATACATTATTTCATATAGAAGTACTAAAGAGAATCAAGATACTAGAAAAAACTAGTCATAGAGAAGTAAGCCTAGTCTGACTTGAATTCTGTTCAAAAGTGTCACTGCTGTTACTTAACATTTACAGAGTGCAAGGACATTTAAACAGCATTTCTCAATATAATAAGCAATTGTAGAATTGGTGATACCTTATACAATTAACTTCATACATCCAAATTAGCAAGCAAAGGGATTTTCTGCCCTAGGTACTATTTAAATAAGAGGTAGAAAAAGGCAAAAGTGCAGACATTCAGGTAGTATATATAAATGCTTGTAAAATGTACATGTACAGTCATATGTTCCATAAGGATTTATTAGTCCATGACGGACTGCCTATACGAAGGTGGTTCTACAAGATTACACTGCCCAGTGAAGCTACTGCTACAGATACACACAAACACATTCTCTTCTTGCAATCACAGAATCACGCACCTAACCATGCATTTCTCTGAACATATCTGCATTGTCAGCGGATGCATGACTACACATCAATGTACTGTGAAATGTAAAGCAAATTCTTATTTACCTAGACTTATACAACTTGATCTTTTCCTTCCTCACTGAAATCAATGACAATCTAGTTACTAAGTTCATAGCTCAAAAAACAGCCAATATTTTACATACTTATCAGACAATATTTTGAGGGGCATGCCTAGGCTTGAATGGGACTTTACCTTACAGGAAAAATATTTAAGCAGCATTTGAAAACTGTATTTACTAAACTTGAAAATTATTAGTCATGTACCAACAAATGGCCTCGTGCCTACTATTCGAATCATGGAACATTGGGAGTTGTTACTTTATCTGAAGCTGTCACGTTAAGACAGGAATTGTACCACATCTGACTTCCGATTCAACGCCTATCAGTAAGAGTTCACCTGACCAAGCTCCTCATTCAGATTTGATGTCCGAGCCATTGCAGCAGTGTCTGTGGGTTCATAGTGCATGTCCAGGTCCTTTAAAACATAAAAAATAAATCATTGATTACAATGGATAATATTTAAAAGGAAATGATTCATGTCTTTCTTCTTTAAGAAGACACTAAATGGTCAACTATATGTAAACACTTGTTTCTTGCTACTTGATTTTTTTAAATTTAATTTTTTATTTATGTATTTATTTGGTACAGAATCTTGCTATGTAGCTCAGACTCATAGCAATCTTTCTGTTTCAGATTCCTTAGTGCTGGGATTACAGGTGTGCACCACCACTCCCAGTTGTGGTGGCTGGCACAGTGTGCTGGGGCTGGCACAGCATGTGGTACTGGGGATTGAACCCAGGTCCTTGCACTTGCCAGGCAGACATTTGGATTACCAAGCTATCTCCCCAGCCACCTTGCTACTTTTATACAATTTTATTTCCCTGAAATGTTCTCAGTATAGAATATATTTCACAGTTAGAACAGAACAGCATGCTGCTGAGATGGCTCAGTGGTCTAAAGCACCTACTTAGAACAAGTTTAGCAAAGCACAGGGACTGCGGTTCAATCCCCAGCACCACATGCCAGCCAGCCCCGCCCCCTGGTGGGCTGAGCTGGACACACACACACACACACACACACACACACACACACATTAAAAAAACAAACAAAAAAAAGAACAGAACAGTATGGTAGGTAGAGCTTACCTCTGAATTCAGACAATCTAGATCTATGATCATTCTACCATTAAATAAAGTTGACTTTTTGGAAAGATTAAGATAATAAAGTGTTCTCTTGATTATCTGATACAAGGCAAATGCTTAATGTGAGCTAGAAAATAACAACTAAATGTTTTCAAGTAATTAAATCTTTAAGTCACTGAAAAAATTGTTCAAGAGGTTCTCTTTGGTTTCTTTCTGTAGAATCAAGATTCTATCTATTCTACTTTCTGAGCCAAATTTCTTGCACTATATTATTTGAAAGGGAAATAAATGTACTCATAAAAACCAGACCAAAAATGTGTACTTTTGTATTTTTTCACTTGCTTTGCACCCAGTAATCATGAGGTTTGACTATATAACCAAAAAATTAATATTATTTTCTCTAGTAGAGCACTGTATCTTGTCAACAATTCATGGTTAGTGTCTGATTTTCACAGGTCAAATGCAAAGGCCAAAATAGAAACGCAAACTGTCATCTCTCTTGTCTCTATTCTGTGCTGATCAACATCATTTCTGGAAGAGGCTATTGAGGTTTATGTGCTATGTTTTGGAGACAGGCATTAACCAACGGGGCCATGATTAGAGAAGACGGAAGAGGTCAGGATAGAAACTAATGTGGAGACCACATGAAAAAAGGACCAACCAAAGGAGATGGGGGTGTTTAGTCAAGGAGAAAAAGATGACAGAAAACATTTATGACAGCTGAGTTCAAATATTTTATAAGGCTATTGTTCAGGAACAATATTATAAAATTTCTCATGGATCCACAGGGCAGAACCAGCACACAAGGCTAATCTCATTTCCACACAAGGAAGAAACTGTTCTGTCAGGGAAGACTGGAAAGCCAGCTGTCCCTCTGCTAGGGATGCTACAAAAACTTCTGGATATGAAGAAGGTGGTTGAAAAGTGTACTTCTCCTCAGTTTATACAATTTGCAGCAAATATTATTTTTAAAAATCCAAATTAAAAAATAATGAATGGGTTGAGTAACTGTTTGACCTTGACAGTGAGCTATCTTATTACTTCTGTGAGTGAGAAATGAGAACCCCTCAGTACGTTTTAATTATACTCACACGTAGTGCACAATTCATCAGAAACACATTGCCTACATGAAGAGAGTTATCTGCCCATGGCTCACTTCAGATATCTGGATTACAGATTTTACATCAAAGAACGAAAAACTGATAATTTAGGGGGATCATTTACCATCAAAAGATAATGAGCAGTTCCAAAATTTTATCTTACAATCCTAGTATTGTTCATATATGAAAAACTTTAAGATGATACATGAAGAAACATTAAAATATCGCCAAAATTGCTCAAGAGGAAAATTAATCTAACAAAAGGCTTACAGATTTACTTAATTCACATAAATTCATTACTTTTAACCTCAATAAAACTGTAAGAATAACAGCATATTTTATTTAAAAAATTATGAAATAAGTCAGGCATTGTGGCAAACACCTGTAACTTTAGCATTTCGGGAGTCTGAGCAGGACTGCTAGTGCAAGTCCAGCCTGGGCAATCTAACTCAGAATTTGTCTCAAAAAAATAAAGAAAAAAATAAAAGGATGGGGCAGTAGGAAGGCCCTGGGTTCCATCCACAGTATCACACACACACATATACAAATGGAATAGCTATTCAATACATTTTTCCCAATATTAAAAAAATTGAGAAAATAATTCAGAAGAAAAATTCATGCACAGTTGAAACTATTTACAGTATGGGAAAATAAACTGCAAAAAGGAATAAGCAAGGGCAGGCCAAATAGCTCAGTGGATTAAAGTGCCTGCAAGCAGGCACTGGGGCTAGGGGTTTGATCCCCAGGCCTGCTGTGCCAGCCCCCGCCCCCAGGGTACAATGAGATGGCAATTGAGACTGGGCGTGGTATTGTGCACCTATAATCCCAACTCTTGGGAGGCTGTAAACAGGTGGATCACTACAAGTCTAATCTAGCAGTAAGACCCTGAACACCCTGTAGATACTTCCCTAAAATAAAAAAAAAAGAACAAGTATTGATAATGTGGTTGTTAGCAGTAGCAAGCATAGTTTTATTCATGTAGTGCTTCATTATTTATAAAGTTCTTTGCTATGAGATGTAGAGAAAGCACGCTTCCTTTTCATTTTAGCGCCCATGAAAGTAACTGTCAAAAAGTCAACTGACTAGGCAAAGTTCCCATGTTTAGGGAATCATAACACTAGAACTACAATCCAGGTATTTTTATTCCAAATTCACGGTTTCCATCCCCTTTATATCCCCCTAAAAGGTTTTCTGAACAAATGACTCATTCTCCTCAAAATATCTGTTTATAAACATGGAATCAAAGAAGAGAGACTATGTTAAAATTATACAGGCTCAAAATTAACATTCTATAGTAAATAAAAAGTAGGTGAAATTAAGACTTTGTTCCCCTGAGAGATCAGAAGCCTTGGAGGTGGGGGGAAAAAAGAGTACCCACGCACTGTACTTAGGGAGGTAACAATAATGTAATCCATTCTTACCCAATTTATGAAGTATGCCTGGGTAAATTTCACCACTTCTAACGTGACCAACAAACTGATAGGAATGAGATTGTTGAAAAGTATGATGAAGGTCAAAAAATTCAGTCCAAAATTATTAGCGCCACCATCTGTTGGGGGGCAGAAATGGAAACAGTATCATTGTCAGATTTAAAGTGAGAGAAATTTAGCATAACAAGAATTTGCATATTTTCCAGTGTATCTAGACAGTCAGGGAGGAACGCTTTGCTGAGCACATATCCTAATTCTCAAATACTTCCTTCGAGAAGGGGCAGCACATAAATGGCCTTCCTGATACAAGGGCTCTGCACCTGTGTACTCCACCAACTGCAAGCTGAAAGTACTGAGGGGAAGGAATTGAACCTGTACACACCTCTTTCATGTTGTTATTTCTTGAATGATACAGTATAACAACTACTTAGTAGCACATGCATTGCATTAGGTGTTATAATAATCTACAGATGATTTAAAGTACTGTGTATAGAAGAGGGTGAATAGGTAATATGCAAGTTACACAACATTTTATATAAGGGACTAGGGCATCTCTGGTTTTTGGTACCCTCTTGGAGTCCGGGAGCCAGTCACCCATGGACCCAAGAGACAACTGTAACTCATGTTCATTCCACTGCCAATCTTGTTAAGATCTATACAACAGTACTAAAAAAACAAGGAACTACCACTATCAAGTATTGTAAATTCTGTTCCAAGGTTTTAGAAATACTAATACTTAAAGTATTATGACTGAGGGTTCTAATAGAGGGTTTAAAAATGTAAAATTTCAATAGGATAGAATTACTTGTATAAGAATTCTTAAAAGCACTGTATTTCCAATTTAAAGAATGCTTCAGAAGCAAGAAGAAAAACAGCATCATCATACTGTACTGAATATTATTCATCAGTAGGTAAATTATTCTAGAAAAATTATACTCTTCCTGCTCAGTAAGGAAATAAAACAAGATTGTCAGATACACTGTAAAGAACTTGAAGAAGCAAAATGATGGTGAGTAGCAACCTTTTTCATGTTGAAATAATAAACCAGTGACTATGAAAACAATTTAGAATAGCTCCAAAGTTAAACATATGTAATAAAAGCAGCTTTAAAATTAGTTTTTGCTCTAAGATTTTACTAGAATTTGTTTTCATATTTTCAGAATGAAGTATTTATTGGTGATGTACTCATTAAGTGGATACATAAAATCTCTGCTTAGACACACACGGGACAGCACCCTAACACCACAATAGCCCAAGTATACATGCTCCACAGGGAAACTATTTAGTAGCACTTTTCTTGGGATGAGAGGAACATTATCACAGAATTCTCTACATTACTGAGTTTAAGGGAAAGTGCACTGGGTTTAAATCTTCTTAAAACATATGAACTATTTTTGGTAATCCAAAGATCACAATATTCCCCATATATACTCTATCTACTCTCTTTATCAGATAGCTACAATCTACTTTAGAAACACTTTAAAGAAAAGTATTTATTTATGTATATCATGTTAATGACTATATTGCGCTTTCTGAAACTCTTATACTACTATGAAATACTCAGTATGTTGATAAGGATTTTTAAATTTACAGATTCTAAAATTTTAGATACTTTTAGTGGAAAACATTCAAAAAATAAAGATTAAATGTCCAATAATTTTGGCAACAAGATCTTTTCAGAAACAATAGGAAATTACACAAAATAAAGTAAAATCAATTGTAAAACATATATTGAAGAAAAAAAAATTGCAGTCACAGCTTATCACTTACAGCTTAGATTGAGATACCAGTCTCTTCCAGAGTGCCTTCGATTCCAAATGGCTGAGCCCACAGAACAGATAAGTGACATGGCAATTAAGATACAAAATAAAATCAAAATTTGTACGTTTGTAATCCTTTCCACATTGGAGAGCTTAAGCGGTGGGCTTGTTGAGTTCTGTGAAAAGAAACAAGATGATTAGTTAAACATGTACACAATTCAGTAATGTGTCACAACCTAGTACCAAGACATGGTTATCCATATGAAAAGTAAGCAAAATCTATATGTTAGGGCTTTTGTCTAGGTGTCTCCCCAAAGTCTCACGTGGTCCTGCATGGAGCTTTATGAGAAGTCATTGGATCTAGAGTGTGTGACAGTGGGACCAATTCATGGAGCAATGCTAGAATCAAGGGCACGAGGAATAAGGGTGTGAGTGCTGTCTGCCCTGAGTAGCCTGGACAAGGCATAAGAGACAGACAGAGCTGTGGCCATCCTTTGTTCCTCGCTGTCTTCTACCCTCTTGTGGCTTTGCTATCTTCTGCCTGCCACAAACAGGAAGAGAACATTACTTCTCCACTTTAATGCCCTCTGCTACGTCACCCTGCCTCGGAGCCAGATAATTCTGGACTGAAACCTCTCCAAACTGTGAGGTTGGGAAAACCTTTGGGTGATGGGTATTTTAATTCCAGCAGTTAAAAAAAAAAATAACCAAGACAACATGACAAGTGCAACAAGGCATCGCCAGTTGAGCGCTTCTTTTTCTCAAGGTCAGTATACCACCATACTGTCTTTCTAGGAAGTCAGTAAGAGACGGCACTAACATTCCTTCTGTAGCCAGAGTAGGAAGCAGATGAACTTGGCTATTGAGGCATTTTTTTTTAAAGGCTGTCTGGAAAGATCTAGTTAGTGTCTCTGCTCAGATAAGAGGCAGAGGGGAGGCCTCTGCACCACAGCCAAACGCCTGAAAATTTAAGTGTAAAGGAAATTTTTAAAGAATCCTGGATTTTTGAATTTCTGGTAGCATCTAGCAAATATTTTCCTGAACACAGAAGAAATTCAAATAACCCTGGCTATAAAGAATAACAAAGGAGAGCTTCCGAATTAGTATCTCACAATTCACATATTTACGCCATCTAGAGGACAGAAAGATCAATTTGTCATAATTTTTATGAAATGAAGATTTATAGAATTTATAGAATGGCTAGGGGTAGAAGCATTACTAACAGTTATACCTGTCTGCTAAAAACATCCTCACAACTGTTTCAGACATTAGCCTTAGAGTAGATTTTCAATTCACACTTAAAAGTCAGTTTTCTATGTCCATTGATCTACTGAACACAGATGTGATCATAATTTAGAGAAACCTGAAGGTAGTATTAGGGTGCACGTTGACACAAAAAAAATTGTATAAAATGGTTATTTCATGTACACTATTCTTTAAACTTATGGAAAGAAAGAAATTGAACCATTTGATCAATGCATTAAAACACAATTATAAAACAAACATTTTAAGTGCAGAGCACCATTGTTACATACATGACTTGAAATAATCACCAATAGTTAGAAAATGCTGCCAATGGGTCACAAATAAATCATGGAGAATTCACTCATTTGTGGTCCTCTCTGGTGAAAAGCTCATATTCTTGCCTGCAGTGAGCCTTTTTCACAGAGGTGCAATTGCGAGGCTCTGCTCACTGGAGTACCAGATTCTGGATGAGTGGGCTAGGGCTCAGGAATCTGTAACAAATGGTCTGCTCAAGTTGGGGTCACTTCACTTCTGAAGGACATCAGCCTAACAGGTTCCACGGAGAGAAATCCTACCTGCATTAGCTTGGTGTCATGTCCAGTGTAGACAACTATTCCATGAACCCACTGAGTATTTCTCAACTGAGCACCTCGGAGAAGAATCTGATCAGCTCCCAGAGGAACAGTGCTAGGACAGATTAGGGTGACATTAGAAACGACATTTATGAAATACTTACATTGCACAGCCCAGCCACCAGATCATTCCAAAAGGTTTCATCATTAAAATAACCCTTCTCGTATTTATTTTCTTTTGGGAAAGGAAGTAATTTTGCAACCAAAAAGAATGGTTTTCTTTTACAGGATCAGCTGTTTAGGAGTATTTAAGCTGCTTCTCTTCACACCACACTAGCCACATCTTACAATTTCACGTCTCCTGTGGACTGGACTGTGTTCCCCTAACATACTTGTGAATGTGATGGTATTTGGAGATGGCACCCTTGAGAGGTAAAAATTTAAATCACGTTTTTTTTTTCCACGAAGAAGGCTCAAGCTGGGTTTCCTGCAGGATGCCTCTGCTAGGTTATTAGGTGATCCAGATTTATTCAGGGCCAGCAGAAAAGCCCAGCATTCTGACAGGTATACTGGCCTACCTGAGGGGAATATAACATTCCAAGTTTAGTGGGCCAAAGATTCCTAGTACCAAGTGTTCATTTTAAAAACAAAAAAGTAGTTAGGCATGGTAGGGTGCACCTGTATCCCAGCTATTCAGGAGACCCGAGGCAGGAAGATTGCCAGTATGAGACCCGCCTGGGTAACTTACTTAGACCATCTCAAAAGTTTAAAAAAAGAACTAGTGATATAACTCAGTAATGTCTACCATGTGCAAGGCCCTGTACTCAAGTGTAATATGGAACTGGGGAAGTCATATATAAAGAAAATATATTTTAAAAAAATCTTCTAGGGAAAGGAAAATGACTTCTCAAGAAAAGTTTACAGAGAACACAAAATGCTGTGTCACTGAAGGCAGAAGCTGGGGCCCTTGCCCTTCTTTGAAGAACTACAGGAAGTGCACTGGCTCAAGTGAAAGGCCTGGCTGGGAAAGCACAGTGCCTGAGTGAATTCCTAGGAAATAGTGATTTCAGTGTAGAGAAAGGACACAGTAATGGAAACTGTGGCTGTACAGTATGCCTTTAGCACATGTCCTGATAGGAACCTATTTTAGTCCACTTCATGTGACTATAAAAAATACCCCAAGCATTTGATGAGAACAAAAAGTTCATTCTGGCTCATAGTTTTAGAGGCTGAAAAGTCCAAGCTCCACTGGGGCTGTACTAGGTTGCCACATGAGTGCATGCAGGGACCACAGCAGCTTACTTAACAGTAAGTGGCCCTTGAAGTGTCAAACCCAGGGCTACTGGCCCTAACTTATTCCTGGGGACAGGCATTAAACCTTTCTAATGACCTCCTTACCTCCCCCCAGGGCTCACTTCTTGAAGGTTCCACAACTTCTCAACACCATCAGGCAGGGGAAACTGTCCTCTAGCAGTTGACCTGCTCTAGTAGTTGACTGAGCCTTTAGCACATGACCTGCAGTGGGACAAGCTGATTCTAGAGAACACTGTGGCGTATATCTGAAGATTCTCAGTGCCCTTTAGAGTTGGCAGGGCCTTGGGACTATATCAGGTTTCCACAAAATTCTTGAGAAGTTCCTGGGCTATGTTTTAGGGCGCGTGTGTGTCTGCTGCTCCTCATCTATTCCATGGGAATACTATGGTAACTGTCGCTTCAGCATTTATGGCAAGGACTGACTGGAGAAAGATACAAACACTTCAAAAGCAAAACCCACCACCATGTGTATGTGGGTTACTAGGGATTGAATTTAAGGCTTTCCCATGGAGTTATATTCTCAGCCCTTTGAATTAAGTAATTAAGTGATTAATTTTTTGACTTAGAGACAGTCTTGCTAAGTTGCTGAGTTGCCCAGGCTGGGCTTGAACTTGTGATCCTCGTACCTCAGCCTTGCAAAGTATTGACTGGGATAACTTGTCGGTGCCATCATGTCTGGCTAAACTTAGTACTTCCTAATTACAAAGATTCAAGAAGAGCTACTATTAGCTTTTTTTTCTCTGAATGCCTTCAGCGCAGGTTTAGCTGGCTTGAGTTGTGGGGATCGAACCACAGCAACCTGAGCCTGACTGCTTTGTTGAAGCAGCCACTTACAGAACTGAGCTAAAGGGGCAGGCCCCCTACTATTGGTTTTCATCATAGCTGGAATTCTAAAGCTTCTGGCATTAGATTATGGTCATCAACGAAAGGACATCAGAGCACAATGAGGGTTTCCAAGAGCTCTGGAAATCTCTGTCAAAGCCACATGTGAGGGCCACCCAAACAGCTCAGCGGATTGAAGTGCCTGCAAGCAGGTGCAGGGGCCAGGGGTTCAATCCCTGGGCCTGCCATGTCATCTCCATCCCTGAGGCATGCGGAGACCGCAATTGAGACTGGGTGTGGTGGTGCATGCCTGTAATCCCAGCTCTTGGGAGGCTGTAAACAGGTGGATCATTATGGAGTCTGATCCAATACTGAGACCCTGAACATCCTGTGCACCCTTCCCTAGAATATATTAAAAAGCCACATGTGTCACAGAGATGAAGGTCTTGAAAGTCAATTCCTACCTTTTACATAAAATAAAGCATATTACATAAATTCTATCTGTATCTGAAATCTTGGCAACATCACACAAAATTTCTCCTTCATAAAATCAATTTACTTGGCACCAATTTAATAGGGAAGTGATAAGAAATAGAAGCCAGCCAGTTTAGGAATGTCAGACTAAAGAAACATTACCTGCGTGAGTGGCCAAATCTATCATTAGTGTATAACCATATGTTCAGAGAAAGATCACTCTGCACAAATTTTAGAGAAACAACTACTTTAAAGATTACAGGAAAGCTTTTGGTGGATCAGAGTAAGGATGGCAGGTTCTTAAATATCCTTAAAATTCCAACACTGTAATAAGAGAGCTACAAAACAATGAAAGCACTATTCAAGGCTAATGACTTGAACGAGTGCATCAAGGTGACATTTAGTTGGCTACTATGAATGCTTGGTAAGTAAGGTCGAACATGCTGAGAACAAAGCCAGGGAAAGAACAAAGAGAGAGGCATAAAGGCCCTACTCTTTTTCCAGTCTCCTTCCCGTTTCTTCATGCCTCTCTGCAACAACACTGCTTGTAAAAGAACTCTTGGTTCTTTTCCACCTTCTGTGATCTGGACCTCACTCTCTGGGCTGCTGCCTATTCTGATCTAGCGCAAGTGTTTCTGCTTGCTAAACTCACCTGCTCAGCTCCATCGTACCTGACCACCAGCCACATCTGACTTAACGTGGTGCCTCTACCTCTGCACAGTGTGGCGCCTTTGCTGTCTCTTAGATTCTATTCTGTGAACTGGGTTTCCGTCTCTCTCACTTGTTCCTTCTTTTCTTAGACTTAGTGTTGTACATTCTTGTGTCTATACTCTCTTGCTTTTTGATTTCTTTCAGTCCTATAGCTTTAAATATATGTCTATCCCAAGTACTCCCAAATTTATCTTATCCCACACTCTATCCCGAAGTCATACATCAATTACCTTGATGCTACTGTCTGAACGTCAGCAGCATGCTAAGTCCACAACTGAACTGCTGCTCCTCCTCCCCCACATTGTCCAGTTCACATGGAATATGCATTCACAGCGGCCTACAAAGCCACACAGGATCCGGCCAGCTACTATCTATCAGCCTTTTTCTCAGTACTATTTTTCTGGATCACATCTCTCCAACCTCAATGATTTTTCTGACATGCTATAATTATTCCAGGCAATTTCACACTTTAAGATAATGTAATGACATTACAAATGACCTGCACTGACTCTCTCCTGCTTAACGTCCTTTCATTTCAGATCTTCAAGTGGTTAAAAATTCCTCCCCTCCTACTCATTTTTTTTGAATTAATTTTATTAAGAAAGAAATAGCAATGAGACAGTTACAAAACAGGTTAACAGGACAGTTACAATAATTAATACATTGCATATTGTTGCCTTCATAGCAGTTATTCATAGTACAAGATGTAGACATGATATCTTGTGTAAACAGTATTAGTACAAATCTTTCTTCTCATTGAACTAAGAAAGTTGCTGTATACCTCTAATTTGTATATACATATGTATGTATATATATATTTTTACTACAAAATGGTCCTTCATTTCTATCCCCCTTTTTTTAGTTTTGTCAGAGATGGGTATTCCATTGCTATTCAAATATTGTAACTGCCCTACTAACCTGTTTTGAAACTGTCTCATTGCTATTTCTTTCTCAATAAAATTAATTAAAAAATAAAATATAAAGCCATATTAATATGCTGAGCTGTAAGTCAACAACTTCTGACATGGCCAGTCCTGCGGATAACCCACTAACTATTATGGTCTACTGGACTATATTGGAATATTTTGCTGAACTCCTCTTACTCATTATTGACCAAGTATTTCCTTCTCAGTGGGGCTCACTATAACCCCTCAAAGTGATTCCTTCCCTAGGACGCTCAAACTCTTTTATCTTATGCTATCTTTTCCAAAGTATTTATTGTTTTCTAATATAGGATCAAATTTTCTTATTTACCATTTTGCTTGTCCTTTATGGCAGTTAAGCTCAAGTATCACCTTGAAAGGCTTGGGAACTGCCTAGATCGGTAAAGTGCACTGCTGGTGGTGACAGGCTGGGTCACAGTACGTGACTTCTGGTCCTGTATCTAGTCCCTGGCCCCTTCTTCTCTGGCGCTGCTGCACTACTCTGCCTCCTCACCTTGCTCTGCCTCTGTGTCTCTGCTTTGGAGTCAGCTGACTATGGGCTGAATCTCTGTAACTATGGGCCAAGCAAAGCCCTCCTCCCTTAAACTGTTAAGTTGTTTCCTTTCCTTCTAGCAACAGGAAAGCTGACTAATACACCCTTCCTCTACTACAAGAAGGTAAGCTAACAAGATACAGTAGTACATTTGTGTCTCTTAATATTTGTAAGTTGAAAACTAACTGACTGGCTGTTAGGAAGTAGAGTCCTAGAGATGACTGGGTCATGAAAGCGGGGCCGTGTGCATGGAATTCACACCCTATGAAGGAGGCCAAATGGCCTCCATCATGGGAGGACATGCAGCATATACCAGCTCCCTAGGAGACACCAAATCAGATGATACCTTGATCTGATCCTGGGCTTCCCAGCCTCAAGAACTGTGAGCAATAACATTCTGTTTAGAAATTTTCCACTCTGATATTATTATTTTGATATAGCAGTCTGAATCAACTAAGACACAGGGCAGGAATATTTATTTGCTTTTTTTGTTGTCTTCTTAAACATATAAATTGGCCTAATCTGTTCGGAATGAATGAGAAAAGTAGTAGGAAAGGAGAAAGGTAGGAAGTAGGTAAGAACAAAGATGACTACAGATGATAACAGAGCCTAAAAAACAGCATACAGAGTTACGAGGAGACAAGAAATTATCCAGTTCAAGGAGCGAGTCGGAACTTCTAGAGACCACAGGAAAGGACTCAGACCAGGAAGATTAGCGAGTTAAGTTGATCATAAGTGTTTTTTTGTGGAAGAAAAAGTCACAGGTTATTTGCCTACTAAGCAATGTGCTAGAAACCTGGACTATTCTTGAAAACGTTCCAAACTTGTTGGCAGAACCCCTGGGAAAAGCATCAGCTATACTACACAATCAAGGTTACGATCCAGCAACTTTACCAAAGGAGCTCAGGCTGGAATGTAGACACGATTTGTAGAAAGGATTCTGTACATTGTAGATTCAAATGTAGAGGGAACTAATCTGTACCCCGACGTGGGAGACACCGGGCAGTGCAGGACACCCAAGCAGCAGTGGTCTCACATACCCATGTCCATCGAGCCTTATGTTTCCCACGAAATCGTAGAGATGCCTATTGGGACTTTCACACTCGATTCTGCCAGAAATTCTCATCAAGCTGTCAATGTCTTTGATGTCTGAAGTTGCTGGTAAGCCCTGTTAAAAATGTTTAAATAAGCAGAGAGTAATTGTGTTTGGGTGGGTCCCCTTATTTCTTACTGAGAAGAGAATCCCCCCCAACAGTTCTTCCTCTGTCCAGTTAGAGGAGGTCAGCACAGAGCACAGCTGTCTTCCCAGGACAATGGCTAGGTCCTCCATGTGGACCTAGCTTGCTGCACACCAGCGCTCCCAGTCTCCCAGCCCTTTCACTGCTCACCTACAACCTAAGTGCTTGGACATCTTAAAACGTCTCTTCACATTTTATAAACAAAACCCTTGCAGCTTTTCTTCTGCTAAGGATGGGAGAAGAAGTTAATCAGAGAAATCTAAATAAACTAGGGTAAATTCCCAAGATGATTGAGAGTTTCAGAATAGCAAGGAAAAATACAGAATTTAGTGCGTAAAGCCAAATAATTTGGGACAGGTGAATAAGAAAACAAGTCATACGTGTCAAGACTATTTTCACCTTATGCAAACATTAACTATTAATGAAGCAAATTAAAATATTACAAATAAGTTTTCTATGATGGCCCATATTTAGTCAGGCAAGCAAACATGAGTATTCCATCATGCTTAATAACAGTAGTCTATGAAATCTCTTCATTTCTCCATGAGAAAATATTTGCCAAGCGAAAGAATTACTTCACCTCAGGACAGTAACACTAAGAAGGAAACAGTAACATGAAGAGAAAAGCTCTCCATTCCACATCATAAAACAGGAATGAATATATGCACGCCCAGTGTAACCTACCTGTCTAATTTTCAAGTTTGTTTCACCATCTAAGTTGGAAGTCTCAATGTAACACATGGCCTGGGGCTCACTGTGGTTGAGAATTGAGAAACACAAGGAGTTAGTGGAGGAAGGAGAGCAAGAATAACTTATTTAAATGCCTGGACTCACTGAAATTTGTTGGCCTAGAATAGTGGTGGCAAACCTTTTAGAGCTTGCCATGATACAGTCATCGCGGCACACGTGCCTAGGTCTGCCATCACTGTTCTAGACAAGGCTACTGTCACCTTGCTTTTGGATAATTTTCATCTTAACAGCCAGATACTGAGAGGCAGAACCCATGCACGACAATTCATGGATCAGCTTTCTAGCCAGAACCACTCAAAAGCAATTTCCTGACAACACTCAGTAATGTTCTTCAAGATAATGTAAGCGAGGAGATTTGTCACATTATTTTTAAACTGTCCATCCATATAGACACAACACAGACTATCCGAGATATAAAGCAGTTTTGTGTCCACATTTATTTTTAGCTCTGAGACATCAAGTGAGATTTCATGCTCATGGCCTACATGTAAACTGGTGAAGTACAGTGATTAGAAAATCCCACATTGCTACTTCTGCAAACTTGCATTTAAGTATCTTTTTAACTATGATGAATAGAGTCCTATGGACCACAAAACACAAAAATGGTACGGCAGCTTTTAAAAGAGGCATGAGCATATGCTACACTAGACGTGTATAGATACTTTATTGTTTTTCCTGGTTCTTATCCTTCTTATCTGTCAAAGTTAGTTGAGAGAGTTTTGAGGACAAGAAAAGCGAAAATTAAAATCAGCCAACTTGGCGACACTGCTTCTTGCCCTGAACCTTGTAGAGCCTCTTTACAGGTTCCCACCAGGGTGTGCAGCTCATGGTGTTTGGTATGAGGGCCCAGTGTGCCCCAGTTTTAACACAGGGGTCATACTTTAGACCAGAGATGGTGAACTTTGGACAACTTTTAAGGATACAAACATCCTGCTGAGACATGTGTGCCATATGTTTGCCACCATTCCTCTGAACTGTCACATGTGTGACCTTCGCATGCTGATGTCCAACGTCCAGGAATTACAGACATGGGAGTGTGTGGTTCAACTACATAACTGGACCCTCTGCTTCGTGGAACAGTATTCTGAAGCTAAACCAATCACAGCATTAGCAACTGGTTACAAAATAAGTCCAACTTACGAACATCATAGAAGCAACTGTGAGTGTAGCCTGTGTACATGAGGCTGAAAAGGAGCTGCAAGTCACACACCTGGCACTTTCTAATTAACTTCCAATTTGTACATGTATAAAATAGGCCAGTCCACATTTCAGAAATGAGAATTTAGCTTAATTTTAGGGCCCTAAAATTTGTGAAAATTATTCACATATGTGGACAGTAATAAAATATTTCTAATTCACTCAAAAGTAACTTTGCAAATTTTCCCATTTACTCTAGAGGCTTTCTTTCATAGCAGCTATTACCTTTCCTAACTGGGGGAGTCTTCCAATATTTATAGTTTCACTCTATAATTATTACAACTTATAATTTGTTTATGTATAATTTGCAATAAATGGTTTATGAAGTTAGAAAACATTTTCTGAAAGCCGGTTGACAAAACGCTAAATGGTGACATTGATTCCATATCTAGAAATAAAATATTGCTCAGTATACTTAAGCAATGCCATTCTCCTGTTAAAATGAGAATAACATTCTACTTCTACTTATTCTTAGTTTTTTTCTGCAAAGCAAGTTTTCTAGGACTTAAAATGACTAAGAAGTGAGGCAATTTTAAAGGGCTGACTTCTACCTGAAGTGGGACACGTAAAATACACATTCGTATTTAGAACATTCTTAACCACTAAAGACAGCTGTGACGGAAGCAGCTCTTAACAGTGCTGTGGAAAGGCAGCAAGACGTCAGGACTCATGCTAGATCATCAATACGTCAGCAAGTTATGACGACATCCCAAACACAGACTACAGTCAGAGAGGCAAAGCAGGCTTTTGATTAGTAAGTGGAAAAACGAGACAAGATGCATACCACAATACAGACACCAGTAGACAGCTGAAGTTTATCACAGTAACGTGCACACTGCCACAGCTTACGAGTGGGATAAAAACCGATCCCAAAGCATGCGGTCCAAAATGTACGACATCCAGCTTTGTGCAGGGGGTCCTCTGTAAACCCTATACAAGCCCCAATTATAGTAATAATCACTGGAAGGATTCCACAGAACTCGTAGAAAATTTAAGATGTAATCAATTTTCAATGGCTGGCTCATGAAAAGGTTAACACTATTCAAAACAATATTATGGAGTGATCACCAGGTGAGCCTTGGTACCAAGGCATGCTGCTAAATAGCAATATATATTAACAAAGTGGAAGATACTAAAATCTAACTTTGCAGGCATGCCTCTTGGACTCCTGTTGGAACAACAGGGGCTGAATCTGCCCTGCAGAGGGACAAATGTCATTCAGTAGGATATTCATAAAATGCCTTGAAAACATCTGTGAAATGTCCATCAGCAATAAGTATTTTAAAAGTTTTGTGTTTTAAAGGAAGAGACACATGATTGAACCACATTTGGGTGCCACTGCTCTCTGGTTTAGGGTGAGGACCCGCATGCACACATCCTGTACAGCTCGGTGCTCTAACCTGGAGGACAGACTGATGAGATCGGCTGGGAGATGCTCCCCATTGGTCACTTTCACTATTTCCCCTACTGCCACCTACATGTCCCAGTTTGAAATAATTAAAATGGGAAAAAAATGAATAACAGAGAAAAAACAAACAAATGGACAAAAGAGACAAAAGGTTTGAAATTATTATAGAAAATAATACACATTAATAAAAATGTCAAATGCCAATTTTTTCAAAACATATTTTGATCAGGCCTGAAGACATAAAATATTTAATATTCAAGGATTACTTATCTGCTGTTAAGCCAATTTCTAACACAAAAACTTTCCAACTTTAAAGTTTATGGACAAGCACTTCTATTCAAATAGAAACATTCCTGTAGAGAGCTGTATCTTATAGATTCCTTTTTCTAATTCCTCAAACTCATGTCAGCTACTGTATGCTCGTTCCTACCTAAAAGGGCAAAGAAATAATCAAAGAAAAATTTTTAAGTTTCTGGGATACTTTCTTATTTCCACACACTAAAAAGAAACAAAAAACAACTTTGTTAAACATGTCCTCTGAGACATTTTCAGAGTAAACTGTGTATTTTCTTAACTTTAATGCAGATCACATGATATAAATCTTAGGTCATTAGAAGACAAAACAGGAGCTACTGCAGTTACTGCCTAATGTGAGTGTAGGTTACTGTGGTCCTGTTGGGGTGGGGGTGGTGAGCCCTCAAATTCAAATAAAAAATTTCAGTGAGGGTATGAATAGATATACCAAGAATCTGTTTGTGCTTGAATTATCAGCTTGAGCTATTTTACTCTATCTTGTATTTTCTTAACGTAAGTGTAGTATTTACTATATGCTGAAATTTCAGTTTCTTCATTTCAAAATGAAAATTAATGAAATAATAACTTTCAACCACTTCTGTACTTTAATTTCACAATCACCTCTGAGAAGATTTATTAATGATTAATAATAAATTAATATTATTATTAATATTAATTAATATACAATGGCAAGTTCAGCAATACAAAGCTTTCTATTCTTAATGCTGAACGGCACCCACTGACAGATGAAAATCACCACGTACTGGACAGTGGGCACCACGACACATGAAGGTCACCAGAAGAATTCCAGTCTTGACCTAATCATTAAAGCCAATGGTTAAATAGGGCACAAAGTAAACATTTCTTTTTCTGTTACATAGGGAAAGCTGTTACCTAATTCTTAAGGTCTACATAGGTTTAAAAGCATTATATAATGCAGAAATCCTTCAGGGAAAACAAACAAAACCAACTGAAAGGTAGTGCTCTGTTAATTGGGTAGAAATTTAGATTAATCACATAATATTTATACTGGACTATGAATCTCACTAAATAACTGAAAGTAATGAATCAAGTAATCTTTTAAAAAGGAAGGAGGGAGTTAATCACGGTGAATGTTAAGATACAGAAACTATTTTGATCTAACAATATTGACAGTCACCAGGAAATGTTTTTAAATAGTGTTTTTAAATAATGGTTTTAGAAAATATATCTGGTACAAAACGTTTTTACAGTTAAGAAATAGAGGTTCACTGTGTTTTATCCAACCTCTTGGGACCAGAAATATTTCAGATTTTAGAATTTTTCACATTTTTTTGAAAATGTACATAGACTTTGCTTGTCAATGTTGAACCTAAGCACAGAGATTGCTTGGGAGTTTCTGGGACTCAGTCAAGAAAGATGACAAATAGTTTGTATTTTGTATTGTTTTTTCTTTATTTTCCAGAACCAGGGATTGAACTCTGGCCCTCGAACTTGCCAGGGAAGTGCTTATTCTACTGAGCCATCTCCCCGGCCCCCAAGATGACAAATAATTTGAAAATTTTCAAAAATCAAGTATAAAATCAAGGTAGGATAGTTATCTTTGCATTTTTAACAGACAAAAAGAAATATTGTGAATTGTGGCTCACCTTATATGCTTCTATGATAATGTCTCTTCAATTAGGAACATGATTTTTAAATTGCTAAAAGAGGGGCTGGGGAGATAGCTCAGTAGAATAAGCACTTGCCTGGCAAGTACAAGGGCCTGAGTTCAATCCCTGGTTCCACCAAAAAAGAAAAAAATTGCCAGAGGACAACACTACTATTTTGACATTCCTTATATAGAAACATTTGGATGGTCCAAAGTCTAGCATCTAGTACAATGATCAAACTTTCACGTTCTCTTAAAGTATATTGATTAACATAAAACTAAACAGAAAGATTGGGGAACACTTGGCCTTGTTCAAAAGTCCATCTTTCTCAGTGTAAAAGTAAAACTTAAGTTCTGAGAATTTAAGCAAAATCACTGAGGTACAATAAGAATCTTTGTTTTCTGACTCATAAACACAGCTCTCCATAAGCCCTAGACTAGCAGGGCCTTAGATGAAGACAATAAGCTCACCATTCCACTTGCTCTCCCATGCCGAAGAGAAGCAGTGAGCTTTCAGTCAGCGTCAGACCCTACCCAGGCAAAGTTACGAGCAAATGAAACAAGAACAGAGAGGCTGATTTGAAAATATCCACATTAGTCTTTCTGAAAGCAAAAATCAATCTGTACATGGCACAAAAAATGCCAATCTTAACATACAGAAGTAGAACCATGTCTACGTCTTTCACTTGTTTGCAGATACACTATATGTAGGTAATTCTTATTTGCTCAATTACCTTTCACTAGCTTGAGAGTCTGATCACTTTAAGTCAGGACCTGATTAAATAGATTTTGAAAAAAGGACACTGTCCACATTTATATGTGGAATTTACAAATAAAACTGTCCAAGGAAATGATGATAAACAACCTCTAAGATATTAATAACGTTTCTTATTAATTTATATTTGGGTTAGCTTTATAGTTTTAAAACCTAAAACCATTTGAAAATCACATTCTTTAAAGGGTGACTGTGCCATATGTTCTGAATACTAATTCATGGCTAACTTAAATATGAGTAGAACAAAAATTATCTAAATCCAACAATGGAAAGAAAGAAAGTGCAAAGTGCTTATTTTTGATTGAAAGAGGATGGAATTTCAAAAGGTATGATGATAAAAAGAAATCACTCATCCATTTTCTTGTACCAGTTCGCCATAAAAATCAAGAAGCTTTGCAGGGATATATGAATACATCATAAAGGAACTTATGATGAAAAAGAATTGAAAGATAACATTGACAGAACCCAGTCCATGGATGATATAAAATAAATGACAGGAAACCTTAAACATTAAAAAGTGGTAATAGTCCACACACATGGATCTGGACACATTCAAGGAAGAAAAGGTTCTCAATTGTAATTACAACTTTTGAATTCTATAGTACCTATTACTTATTCTATAAGGCAAACATGAAAGTGGTCCAATCAATTTTTAAATGCTTAATTAAAAATCATTAGAGAGGTTTAAAATTCTTCGTTTATTCCTTATTTCCTTGGAGAAATCACAAGGTCAATGCAGGGTAGAGAAACCATCCTCTACACTGTTTGAGCATCAGTAGGTATCTCTACCTTGATGAGAGAAGTACAGTGTCAGCAGGTATATACTCTTTGCCTTTTATTATAACTATATCTCCAACATTTACCTGAAAGAAAACTGGGAATTGGTTAATTATCTGCATGGAAAGATAGTTACAAATATATAACCCATAGTACTAAAACAACAACTACAGAAGAATGGTTACTGGCAGATAACAACTACTGATCTTCACAAGATGGCATAAAGTAATCTATGTGAGGTCAAGACTCGGAATCTTTTTGAAAGTTGGTGCTGCCTCTTTGTTTTATTAGTCCTCTACAATTTATCTTAATCAAATCAATCGATCCCATCTATCAACTAGACATCTCAACTTCTCATATTCTTTCTCTTTGACATAAAAATAAAAAGGAAGATTTCATTTACTGAAATCTTTACACTGCTTAAAGAAGTTTAAACAAAACTGGAGAGAATATTATATCATATATGTGATTGTTCTTTTTCATAATGACCTTTAAAAGCAAGTATTAGTTGTAATGCATAATTTAGAAAGGAAGAATGTACATTTGCGATTGTCAGCTATTTCCTCAGGACTGGTAGGTGGAAAAGGTAAGATTTAAACCCATGTCTGTCTTGACTTTCGCATAAGTAAATTTACTAAAATTATCACTTTAATTCAAATCAAAAATAAAGTAATTTTTATATTTTACCACCTGTAAGCGTATTTCTGAGCATGACATGAAGAGAAAGTAAAAATGCAGTATGGTCAGAAATGGTTAGAAGTAATGTAAGTGCCAGGCTTGTCACAAAGCTTCTGAAAATGACTAAGAAACACAACTAGTGTATGTAAGTAACCTAGCTTACTAAGGTGGCTGGTCACACAGGTGCACTCCTCTTACACTGGGAATGTTGCTCTCTCTCTTACTATACAAATGAACCTAAAAGTAAGTTTCTGTAGCGAATGGAGGGAAGGATAGCTTTTTTCATTCTTCCCTCTGCCTATTTTTCCTTGAACTGTAAAAGAATATATTATTTGGGGAAGGAGAGACTAGTATCCTTGGTGAGAAGCATAACAAGCAAATACCGCAGGGAGCGCACTCTGTTCTACTTTACAGGCTGGAGGGAAGAGGAGGGGAGATGTCTTCTAGGCTGCGATCCGTACACTGCTTACTCGGGGAGGAGCTCTAGATGCCTGGATTCAAAAGGATTGACTTTAGCTGAAATGTGAAATGTGAACTACCTGAAATGGACAAAATGTGAAGGACATTGGAGTCAAACATTTCTTAACCAAAAACGTGCAAAATAAACGTGGAAAAAACAAAAATTGCAAGTAGAGATATAATCTAGACCCTAAAATAATGTGTGATAGTACCCTGATGACACTCACTGATGAGATGACAAAAACCTCTCTGAGTCATGGCCCTTTGAACGGTGTGTGGGTTGCCACCTAATTGTTCCCTCACAATTAGAGTATGTTCATGTTTCTTCCTCGATTCAGCTATATGCTTCATAAAAGCAAGGCCACATTTGCCCCCATCCCAGAGCTGGGAGCTGAACCATTAGATGTACAAAATCCCTAACTGATGCCACTGCTTCCCAACATTTTTATTTCTTGTAAGACAAAAAGACTTGTGACTTTAACTGAAGAAAATATTAAGAACTCAATATTGTACAGGGTAGCTACCCTAATGAGTAGCAAGGACTCATCAAGTGCTACAGCAGCTGTTGCACTACTTGAAGGAAGTAGAACACGCTTTTTTTTTTTTTTTTTGATACTGGAGACTGAACTCAGGACCATGTGCTTGCCAAGAAGGTGCTTATTCTACTGAGCTATCTCCCTAGCCACATATGCATTCTTTTTTGACATAGAGTCTTGAAGACTGCACTGACTTCAATATTATTCATCTGAGTACTCTAGCTGCACTGTTATCTCAAGAACATGCAGTCAGGCAGGTGAGATAGCTCAGTGGACTAATGCATCTGCTTAGGTGAGTTTAGGCAAGAGCCAGGACCACAGTTCAATCCCTGGCACCACATGCCATACCAGCCCCGCTCCCAGGGTAGGATGAGCGGGCCACTGAGTCTGGGTGTAGTGGTGCCTGCCTGTGATCCAAGTGCTGGGCAGGCTGAAATCAAAGAGGATCACTATGAGTCTGAGCTGCGTAATGAGACCTTGTAACAACCAAATACATCAAAACAAAACAAACAAAAAAAGAACCTGCAGTCTCAGCTGCATCTCAATGAAAGAACTGATCTTTGGGCTGTCAGTAATGAAGCCGCTGCTTAAATTTCATGAGTAGAGATGCAATCTTCATGTGAAGCTTTTTAATTGCAACACTTTCTTTTAAAATTAAATACTTGAAACCTAATATTTTGCAACAGGTAAACACTTCAGGGCAGTAACTGGAGGGATGAGCCCTATTGCTGTTTGAGGCCAGCTGGGGAGGACAGGCTAGGGGGCATGCAAGTCTGCAGTCCCCAGAAGCTCATTAGCAAGCAGCCACACATTTGGGATGGCAGAGAGAAAATATCCTCAAGGAAAGCCAGCCTTCTCTCAGGTTTCTCAGATTGCCTTGGTATGCGGGAGGCACCAGGCTTTGGCTTACTGATGTTATTTTTAATTCCACAAAATATTATATAAGCCATGGAAAAGATCCGCCACATCATCCTGCCAAGGCAGCGAGTAAATCTGCTTATGTGCCTGTCTGGTTGTTAAATACACCATTTTTAAAAAGCCATGGTGGGCATCTCAGCACACAAGAACCTCTTCTTTTCACCTATAAACTCATAACATAGGAGCCCTGATGGGTCTTTGGTCCTACTGTGTGCTCACTATTTGGCACACACAGTAGGTATCTGCTGAGTAATTAGCATCATTTTTTGTGTGTCTCTCTTTGCACAGTATCATAGTTTGTAAAATGACATCACCTGGTTT